ATGCATGCATGCATGCATGATATATGAATATGTGTTTTCTACTGCCGCAGCATTTGTTTATCTTTTGTGTATTTTTTTTCTTCTTTTGCATGCACTGTTGCTGCTGCTGCTGCTGTTGCTGCTGCTGCTGCTGCTGCTGCATGCATTACATTTATATCTCCTTCTGCAATTTCTTCAGCAGCTGCAACATCTGTATCTGCTGCTGCTGCTGCTGCTGCTGCATCTCCTCCTGCTCCTCCTGCTCCCGCTCCTGCTGCTCCTGCTGCTCCTCCTGCTGCTGCTGCTGCTGCTGCTGCTGCTGCTGCATGCAGCACTGCCTGCACTCTGCTGTCTTTTATTATTTTTTGTGTTTGGGGTCGGGTTGCTTCCACCCGCAAATCAAAAGGATAACGAGCAAACAACATATCCACCTGCAGCAGCAGCAGCAGCAACAGCAGCAGCAGCAGCAGCAGCGGCAGCAGCAGCAGCAGCAGCACCAGCAGCAGCAGCAGTAGTAGTAGTAGCAGCAGCAAAAGGAGCAGCAGCAGCAAAAGGAGCAGCAGCAGAAGGAGCAGCAGCAAAAGGAAAAACAGCAGCAACAGTAGCAGCAGCAACAACAGCAGCAGCAGCAACAGCAGCAGCAGCAGCAACAGCAGCAGCAGCAGCAGCAGCAGCACAAAACCTTTCTTCACTAGCAGCACTAACAAAAACACGCAAACCCTAACGTGCAAGCGTAGAGGCCTCGGGGATGTAGGGTTTAGGGTTTAGGGTTTAGGGTTTAGAGTCTAGGGTTTAGGGTTTAGGGTTTAGGGTTTAGGGTTTAGGGTTTAGGGACTTCTTCATCAGTTGTTGAGTTTTGTTTGGGTATCGCTTTGCTGCTGTGGCATCGCTGCTGCTGCTGCTGCTGCTGCTGCTGGTGTTTTTGCTGCTGCTGCTGCTGCTGCTGCTCTGCTGCTGCTGCTGCTGCTGCTGCTTGTCTGCCTCCCCTTGCTGCAGCCCTTAGAGTTGCTAGACATCCTGCATGCGTTTGCTGCTGATGTTTATGCTGCTGCTGCTGCTGCTGCTGCTGCTGCTGCTGCTGCTGCTGGTGTTTGTTTATATTATTTTTTTTATCTTTATACGGGGGGCTGTGTGTATGTGGTTTAGTTTTGAGTTTGCTGCAGTTGCTGCTGCTGCTGCTGCTGCAGCAGTTGCTGCTGCAGTTCTCTCTCCCCCCTTTCTGCTGCTGCTTCTCCTGCTGCTGCTTCTCCTCCTGCTGCTGCTGCTGCTGCTGCTGCTGCTGCTGCTGCTGCTGCAGCAGCAACTCCCCCTCTTTATTAAATAAAGAAGGATAGTGAGCTGCTGCATATAAACGGGTGTCAGCAGCAAGAGGCTGCGCAGCAGCAAATAAACCACAAAAATTTATTTCTCTGAAAAAAGGATGCGAAAGAATTTCTGCTGCTTTTTTATATCGAGTTGAAGCGTCACACACCAACCTACACACACAAACCCTCATAA